AGCAAAGCGTGTGCCCGTCCAAGCCATGCCATGTGGAGGTTGAAGGCGAAACTGGCTTGTGTCTCTGGTTGATTCCAGACAGACAGCATAAAATAAATTAAAGAAAGTGGAGAAATGTGACACGTGGGTTGTTTTTAATAAATATTTTCTGATGTATCTTTAGAAAACAGTCTGGCTTTAGTGATTTGGTTTGATTACTTTGACATTTTGTAGCTTTCTAGCAAAGTGATATCTTCTTAGGCTAATAAATTGTCTGCAAAAAAAAAAAAAAACAAACTATAACCAGAAGTTATTTTACTAGGTGTGATATTAAATTAGGCCAGGGAGACTTAGAGGTATGTTTTTTGTGAGGTTTTTTCTTAAGCTGCATGAATAATTGTTTGCATCCTCTGCTGCCACATGGCATATAATCAGACCAAATAAGGAAGCAGCTTGCTGTTCTGCCTTTGTAAGCGAGTGAAATGGGACCTGTGGAGAGAATGAACAATTGCTGCAGGGAGTAGTCCAAGTAAGTACAAATCTTACAGGACCAAGTGGGAGGAATGCGTTTGGATAGTCCAGTCCCATACATGTTACTGTTCTTCTTTTGCCTGTCCCTTATATTCCTTGCACATGTGAAGACAGGCCTTTATTACCAAGTTTTATCCATCTACCAAGTGTAAGACAGCAAGTTAATATTGTAGTTGAAAGGAATGGAAGTAGGCTGAGAGGGTAACAAATAGGAGCAGAGACAGGTGATCTACACGGTTTAGTTGCATGGTTTAGAGATAGTGTCTTCATAGAAGATAGAAACTTTCAAAGGGAGATTTGTAATCTTTTAGAATCTGCCATCTTGAGCATCACCGTACTTGTGTGCTTCTCAGTGTACAATGTAAAGTAATGGGAAAGAGGGCAGAGTAGATGTTATGGAAAGGGCTGCAAATGCAAATAGCTAGCAGAAAACAACAAAAGGAAGCATGTTTTGAAAAGATCAGGCATCAGGATCCCCTAAATTACTGTGTGTTATAGTAGGATAGAAGAAAAGTTGCAGAGAGCTGGGGAGGAGGAGGGCAGTGTGGAGTGGTTGAATACCATTTTAGGTACCACTTCTTCCAAAGTGTCCACTGTTATGTTTTGTACAGACGATGGAGTAACCTGTGATTAATGATGGAAATGTTGTGGGACGTGAACCTTTTTCTTGTGTCTAGTGGCTGTGAACGCGTTATTCTTACAAGTGTGTATTGGTTTTTGATAAATCTGGTTTCAGTGAGTTCTGCCTTAATTGGACATTGCTTAAAAAAACCCTCACACCTGTCTTTTCAAAAACAGTTTTAAACAATTGTTTGTCTGGAAGATAGTCCTGTTCTGTTTCAGCTATATAAGAGTGCATCCTGCATCTTAAAACCAAACCAAACCAACTTTTCACTGATTACAAGGCTAGATCGGTTTTTTCACTCATAGCAGAACCTTATTTTTCTGGTGGCTGAAGAGCACAAGTGACTTCTGAGGAGGTTATCAAGCAAAAGCGTACTGAAATAAAGTCAATAAATAGTTAATTCTGAATTCAGGTGGGTCCATAACAGCCTTTCTGGAGATAATGAGGTTCACCCCCTGTGGATTTTTGTCTCCTGCATAGCAGCTGTCTCCTATACTTCAGCAGTTTGTGAAATGCAGTTATAATTGGAAGCATTTGTGTGGCTTACATTGTTTGCTCCTGCTTCAGCATTAATAATGTGATACTCAGGGTGAATAAACACCGTTTATATATTCACTACTCTTCAGTGTTGTTATCCTTTGTCTGGTTTTTATAGCAGCTGTATTTTTTTTCTTCTTGGTTAAATTTTTCTTTTAATGTCTTCTGTTTCAAATTTGTAGTCTCCTAAGCATGTGTAATTATCTGCAATTCACTTTGCAGGTATCGGCTAAAAAGGTCAATAGGACCAAGATCTGTTTCCTAAACTAATTCTGATCTGTTTGCAAGGTTTGACTGACAAACACTTGTACAGTTTTTTCCCCTGAACGGATGAACTGCAGATGTTCTAACGTAGTAGCATGTTAATTACATTTAAAATAAGCATGTAACAGTTGAAACTACCTGAATCTAACATGTTTTTATAGTATTTGTGTTAAGCCAAGAGTTGTTCTTTTAAAATATAGCTTTTCATTTGTGGGATTCAAATTAGCTACCTTGGCTGCAGAAATGGACACCATTAGGGTTCTTAAGAAGAATCTGTCTTTACAGCACCCCTCCATGAAGGATCCTCAGTTGATAGAAGAGCATTCTGTACCTGGGCTCATTGGAGCACTGGCCTCCGTCACCTGTTCTGCCTTCCGTTTCTTGTAAAACTTCTTCTGCCATGCTGATGTAGGTGATTAGTCCTGCGGCTGCTTAACTGAACTACTGACATGTGCTGCTGCATCTTCAAATAGGGGACGTGTATTTCTGAGCTAGAAGAAAGCCACCAGTTATCTGGAGTTGCATTATTCCCTTTACAATAAGGATAAACTAATGAGGAAAACGTTGGGAGTTTTAATGTCACTTTTGCTATTTATCTGCAGGTGGCAATAAAAATCATTGACAAATCTCAGCTGGATGCTGTGAATCTGGAGAAGATCTACCGAGAAGTGCAGATAATGAAAATGCTTGATCACCCACACATTATAAAGCTTTACCAGGTATGGTTAGCAATGTCTCATTTCCCTCCTTCTCCTCTCTTGCTTCTGTGTGAAGAGTTCTCTCTACACCAGTGACCTCTGGAAGATCACCAGTCTGTGACAAACTCAGCTTTTCTGGAATTGATTTGCATTGGACAAGTGTTTAACTTTTTTGAAAGTACATCAGTTGTGGTCATTTTCATTCTATGTTACCGATTAGGCTGGCTATGTTAGATACTGAAGCGTACCTGAAATCTACTTAAAACACACAGAAGGTTGTACATTTTATCTTAGTGAAAGAGTCAAGTTGGAAATACCTGAGTTGGAGTGCAGATTGAGGAGTACTTTCAGCCTTTTTGTCTTATCCAAAGGTAAGACGTGAGGATATGTAAATCCAGACTCTGCAGATGTGCTTGTGATGTGTATGTGCACGCCAAGCAAGAGCTTCCCAAACTCTGTCTTGAAGTGCATTTACTAGGAGAGGGATAACTAGTTCTTTGGCTTTACTTTTGTTGGAATCTTGCATTTAATTTCTGTTGTGGATATGGACAAATGTATATTTATCCAAAGTGAACGATGTCTGTTGTAGAATTCATTGCATCCCTTTATAACATAAAGGATGAAAAATTATGGTGCAATAATGTGTACGTACGTAAGAGAGAAAGCTGCACTTGTGTTAGTGCATACAAATTGCACCCAAAACTTTTGAAGGTTTTTACTTGTGACTTTTTTTAGTGTGCATAGTTTGTATATTAAAATACAGGTTTGTTTTATATTGTTTCTCTTCTGTTTCATTTTCCGTTCCTGCTAGCATATGGTAAAATGTTTGAGGCTGCTGGCATTTCTGCTTCAGTTAACTCTTGTTTTTAAAGCTTTCCTGAGAGTATTCCCTTTGGAGTCTCTTTGTTAGTGTTCTGTTTAACAAATCACATGATGCTTCTGGGGCTCTCTCTTGCTGGTTTCAAATAAACCAAACTTTGAATTTAAGCTTCTCTCATGGATCACATGATGCTTCTGGGGTTCTCTCTTGCTAGTTTCAAATAAACCCAGCTCAATGCTAAAACCAAACTTTGAATTTAAGCTTCTCTCATGAATGTCTGTGAAGGCAACGTGAGCACAAGGACTTGGACCTATGGCATTGTAGTTGTTCTACTGAATAGAGACAAAGATCCCAGTTTAGACTTGTTCAGCTTTAATTTAATCTTATGGGAGAGAGTGTGGCACTTCTCTTCAAAATATCAATTCACTGAGTAGAGGCAGACCTTAGGGAGTTAAACTTGTAACTAGCTTAAGTAATACCTGCCACAGTTCCTTGTGAATGAATGACAAAACACAAAAATTATAGAGTCTGAGAACAGTTAAATTAAGTCTGGAGATCAGCAAGATCATTTGAAGAGGAAGGTGGTTGTTACGTAGTGCGGTCCTTTTACTATTAAAGGACTGGCTTGTTAGAAATGGTAGATAGGTGAGCTTATTTTGAAAATGGCCTTCAAATTGTCTCACCGGCTTGCTTATATAATGTGCCCATGGCTGTACTTTGTCCACACTGCAGGTTTCTGAATTGTCTCATGTCAAGGAGCTACTGAGGACTGTCAAAGTTAGGTAATGAAGCTAGCAATCTTGGCTTGATTAAGAACGGTTCCGTATATTTGTAAATTACAGGCTGTTGCAGCTTCCTGCCTCCAAATGTTGGTTTAAAGCAGTCTTTCCAAACTGTTTTGCCTTCCAGATACAGACATTTCAGTCATAATATGCTCAGCTGTTGTAGAATTAAACAAGGGTGCAAGAGATACTGAAGAACTGCCATCTTGTTCTGTCTGTTGGCTTGTCAGTTTTTTGGTAATTCTGCTGGTTTTATAACTATGTATTTGCCTTATTGAAGTGGCCCAAAATCTGTTGGGTGTTGAAACTGTTGTATTGTACTGAAGGGAAGTCCTACACAAAAATATTTTGAAGCAGAGGATTTTTCGCTTTCAGTGCATCTTTTGATTAAGCTGTTTGTACAATGCGTTCCTGAGTAGCAGTTTAAGCAACTGACGAGTAGATCATTAAGAAGAAAGCTGCAAAATAACTGGCTGCTCATCTGTTTTGTTTTGTTGGTCTTTTTCTTTCTATAACTAGAGAACTGTTGGTAACAGAGGACACTATTATCCCCAGTCTGCTTCCTGAGCACCAGCCATCAGCATGTTAGAAAAGTTGAGCAAGAAAATTACTCTGGGCTGATTCTCTAAAGGAAAGTCTTTCAACGAGCTGCTGGTTCTATTTTTTTGTTAGTCACTTGTTGCAGAGAATCCTATCCACCTCCTCCTCTGTTTACTCCCTTTATGAAGTATTTAAAGTTTATCCTTGTGCTTAGCATGCAAATGCTCACTTTGAAATCATTGAGGTAACTTGAAAAAATCAAGTGAAAGATTGTGATAATTGTATGTGCAGGGCAAAGACTTTCACATCTTTATGGAAGAGAACAATGAAGATAAGTATCCATTTGGATCTTTGTTTGCTTTTTGCTTTTCCTGCAAACAGTCTCATGTACAATTTCAACAGGTGATGGAGACCAAAAGCATGTTGTACCTTGTGACAGAATTTGCCAAAAACGGAGAAATTTTCGGTAAGTGTGAGAATGTTTTCATGTTCAACATTTTAATGTTAACTTCTGAAACTTTATCTTGCCCAAGGATCCCTTTTACTATAGTATGCCACTTTGCTTTATTTGTCAATAAATGTGTGGTAACTGTTACTGTTTCTCGTTTTAGAACAAAGAACTTTAGGCAAAACTGTTAGTGTACACTAGCGTAAGGAAAAAGTTTAAAATGACTGATGTTCCTTTAGGAGAAGACATAGCTTGTTACACAGAACAGTACAGGATAAACTCTCATCTCAGCTGGCTGGATTACCAGGTTTTCAGCATTGAGTTGAGATGAAAGACTATATTTAAATGTTCAGCCTGATAATGAACAGTGACCCAAACGGTATTTCAGGTAAATTGAAGAATGTTTCTTGTGCAGTCACGTACTGATTTATCAGACGTGAGTTTTGTAATATGTTTTCAGGAAGAACGTGGTGGGCAGGAGGGGGTGTGAGAGTGACTTAGAGTAACACTACTCATAAAAATTTTAGGTTGTCTGTGTTGAGCTGCATGGTCAAACACACAGTAATACTTGTTTTTGGCTTAAACTCAGCACTCAAGCAGATTAAATTTGTGTGAATACAGTAAATTGTTTTTTTTAGTTGTAGTATTTCATGATGCAGCTTTTTTGTTTTATAGTGTTCAGCTTGGACTACAACAGAGATCTCGTTCGATTTGTTTGGAAAAAGTTACTTAAATCATTGCAGAATAATTGTAGTATACAGATATTCGAAGCAGGTAACAGTTAACACTTGCTCAGCCCTCTTTTAGTGTACGTGATCACTCAAAGTGCACAACAGTAGAGAATCCTTCAGTATTTTGAAGGATCAGAAGAACTGAGAAAGCTTACTAAATTCGAAAATCCACTGCTGATAATGTAAAAGGGAATTTGTGAAGTGGTTGTGCATCAGCCGTTACTCTTCCCAAGGGCTATGCAGTGAACAGTGAAAGTGATTCCATGCTTCCCAGGCTTGTGTTCTAGTACTGAAGGCAACTCCTGCACTCCCTCCACTCTTGACTGTGGTAATGGGCATAGTAAAACCTCGAAGCCCAGTGGTTAGTTGCAAGCTGATCTGCAAGTCTTAACTCCCCTCCTCCAGCTTCCCAAAATCTTCCCATTCATCTTATTACTTACCTTGGGAACTACAACATTGGAGGTTGGTTGTCTTGTAAGATTTGTATGCAGATTTGCATAAGTGATTAGCATAAGCCAAAAATCTATCTAAAAATTACCTTTATACCTATATCAGGTTAACTTTGTGTATTTTGTGCAGTTTTAAGCTTTTTATGCATTAAACATTTTCAGTACTCAATCAAGATTCTGTAACTATTAAGTTTCATTTAGATGACCAGAAGGGGTTGTTTTGCTGTGAGGTGATCATAGTGAGGTGGTCATAAGGAAAAACAAATTAACAGAAAGCAGAAAATAAAAAACTGGAATCAGCATGGCTAAAGATTCTAGAAGTAACTTGGATGTTGACTCTTTTTGCCTTCCTATTTGTCTTGGCTTTCATGTGTATAATTTCCTGTAAAACTTTCACTTTAGTTCATTCTGAAGAAGCAAAGCCTTTTGGGTTGTTAGACTTTCCCTGTTTGTAGATCCTCTAATGTATGTTTCAGGCACAGCGTAGCTAATTCTCTATATTTTTTCTCCTTAAAATAGTTAAGGAATTTGTCTGGGTCCATTATTAGAGACTTCTGTACAGGATTTTTAGATTACTTTTTTCCAATTTATTGGAAAGATTTCTCAGTGGCTTCTTATAATTAAGGATGGGATATTCCACTGTTGTATTTATCACTGGAAGTCTCTTCTGATTTTTCTGCAGGTTCTCAGTAAGTCTGCTACAACAGTAAGTGCTAGCTGAAGAGGAAATGGTCACTGCTGAGCAATATGTAATAACAACTTCGTTTTGAGTTTCAGTGGTACCCAAGACAATGGGTTTATTTTCCATGAATGAGTCTAGCATGTCCTAGTAGAGTAAGAGAAGAAAGGAATAGAAAAATAGCAGAGGAGCAGAAGTATTCTCAAAGGTCAAGAAAATCTTCTTAGCTGGACTGTTTCATACGTAGTGGGTACCATTGCTTTGTTTAGGAATTTGACTGAGGGGCTAAAGTAACAAACTTTTTTGCTTAGTAAAAGTGAATTTAATGAGTTTTATGCTTGATACCCAGGCACTTGGAGTTTTCACATGGCTTTTAGTTGCAGTAACAAAATTGGAGTTGCTGAGAGAGTTTCTAAAACTGCCAGTCAACTTCACCAGGCAGAATGAACTCAGAGGGCAATGGAATAGAGTTCAGCGTGTAGAGGGCCTTGGTGATTGGAGTGCTGAAGAGGTGGAGCCTGGCTGATCTTTCTCTTTTACACTGGAGGGCTGGGGGATGGATTTCAGAGAAACAGAACTCAAATGTTCAAAGTCCTTTCTTGTTGTCTGGGTCATTTTTTTTCCCACCCTTAAGGCCACTAACAATATGTGAAATCAAGTCTTCCTTTTATAACATTAATTTTCAAACAGCACAAGTGGCGGGATGCTCTTCTGGAGTCCTGTACCAGATGAGTCTCTGAGTCATGTGTTTGGAAGCAAATACCATCTTAATCTTTAAATTGTCCAGTAAACAAATGTACTTTGGACTACTGAAAATGCTGCACAGGAAGCTGCCTTGTGACACAAGTTCTGTTGCTTGCTGCTGTGGATCCAGCTGAATCTAAGATAGCTTCTGGGTTTTATTTTATTACAGAAAGATGAAACAAACCCTAGCATAGAAACATGTCGCTAGAGGGTATGGCATGAGGGTAAGATTTGTCAAAGGATATGTGTATGGAAGCATAGCTGGCTTTGCTACTTCAGTCTTCGCAAGGTACAACAGGGTGCTATGCTCTAGGTATCTGCATGAAAACTGGAGTCATGGCTCTTAGCTCCAGAGGTATACACACACATACTCAGTCAGCGTTCAGATTCTAGCTATCGTGACAGAATGTCTCTAGCAAATTTCAGCTGTTCTAAAGTTGTTTCTTTAGCCCAGGGGCTGTATCCCAGCCTTTCCTCTTTGCAGGCTAAAACTTAATGCACATACAGTATCCTTGCATGTACCATCACTTATTTAGACAGACTGTGGTATGTTCTACTTCCCCAGGAGAGAACGCAGTCTATTTTGGAATAAATGACCTATTCTGTGCAGACTGCTAGAGTTGACGGAATACTTAAGGCCAAGATGGTTTGGAATCTTTAAATCCTGACAGGCTAGAGCCATAAAAGCAAATGACAGCTTGGATTCATTAACTTGTTTGCTGCATTGCTAACAAATGATGGATTAACAGCTTAAAGGACTGGCTTGCATTCAGTGCAATTTAGTTTGAGCTTCTGATATCCGACTTCACCTTGATATCATATGATTTGTCAGTCACTTTGTGACTGAATGATTTTTAGCTTGCAAATATTATGATCTCCCCTTACTGCCAAGCTTTTGTTTGTTCTTGTGCTTTGCCAAGTTAAGCTGGCTGTAAGTGTATTAAGGCTTAGGTAGGTTAGAAGGTCTGAGGTGAGTTTTCAGATCTGCAGGTTCCAGAGGTCAGATCTAATGTGCTTTGCCTAAAAACATTTCTTGAGGGATGCTGAAATTAGTGTACTGCAACTGAGGTTTCTAGTCTGCCGCCTGAGATGGTTCAGGAGCAGCCACCTCCATGCTTGCAGAATGTGCTTGGGAGGTAGCAGCAGCAGTGTGTGAAATCCTTTCAATCCCACCACAAGTAAAACAAAGTTAAACCACAACCTAACAAAGCCAAATATTCTCATTTGGCATTGTGTTGGGCAAGATCATCCTTTTTTGGATCGCCGAGATTACACAACTAGCTTAGAAGATAAGATTAATCATTTTCCTTACAGATTTTGTCAGAGATTCTTATAACCAGAAGTAGGCTCAAAACCTCCATTATGTTACGCTCACTTTTCAACTTGCAGAAGCAGCTCTTCTAACCTGTTAACTGAATTCAGACAGAAAGGTTTGTGCCAGCTGGTCTGCAAATGACAATTCCTGTTTACTGGACTTTCTCTATAAATTATAATTTGGGGCTGGTTGCAGCTCTAGCAGTGTAGCTCTTGCCCACTGCTTGTTTAACTTCAGTAGTAGCTGTGATGCAGCAAGTGGTTGGAGATTGCTGCGTGTGTATGTGCTCAGCCCTTGCCTGTGATCTGCGAGTACAGTATCTACATGCGTTTGCTGCACCTTTGTCATTAACTGCATTCTTTGTAGGATGTTGAAAGCAATTCTAAACCCGCTCTAACAGTTGATTCTTTGATTTTTATGCCTTGTAAGAGAGGGAATAGAATTGGCTATAGAAGCTGTTTCTGTCAAGACTCGCACAGCTGCTGCTTCACTTGTTTTTGTTCCTGAGGATAAATGAAGTCTTTGGTTTCAGGGCTAATGTTAGTTTTTACAACATAATCAAATATGAAAACAAAATGTTCTTTCTGCTTGTGATGTAATGAAGACAAGAGAGAGGTCAGGATGGGTACCTTATGGGTGCTTGTGTTATTTCCAGAGAAAAATACTTTTAGCCACCACACAGCCTCTGTTGAGGCTTCAGAGGGAGATGTGTGGTGTGAAGCTTGCAAGAACTCAGAAGAGGCTAAAGCTTAAAGTACCTCATGATGGTGAAGCCAGTTTTTCCAAGTATTTCCCATTCCACAGGAGTTGCATTACATGAAAATATTTATCAGAATAGTCAGGACACTACAAAAGAAGGAAGAGAGTAGAGTTTCATTATGACGCAGGTTTTTCTTATTGTTTTATTTTTTCCCCATTTGTTTGGTGGGTTTGCTGTGAGAATAATGGGCTGGAGACTGGGATTGGCTGAAACACTGAGTTTCCTAGTGCTAATTATTTGAGGGAAATCACTTAGTTTCAGGTTTATTGCTTGCTATCTACTCCATTTAAACCTCCATTTATTTTAACAGATTACCTCGCCAGCCATGGCCGTCTAAGTGAGTCTGAGGCTAGGCGCAAATTCTGGCAGATCCTCTCAGCAGTGGAGTATTGCCATGGTCGGAAGATTGTTCACCGTGATCTGAAAGCTGAAAATCTTTTGCTTGACAACAACATGAACATCAAAATTGCAGGTACTCGGAATGTAGATGATATTCAGTAACGCTTTATTTTTATGAAGGCTGTTCCAGTAATTCAATTGCTGTTGCTCAAGGCATCCTGCTGTGCATAAGGTACACAAAATCAGAGTGGTAATACGTGTAATATTTTTACATTATGGGTATCGCAAAGTACATGTAGCTAAAATAATTCCTAGATTAGATCTATTATAGTTTCAGGAAAAAGGAAATAATTTTTACAGTTACTGTCATTTTTTTGTGGGTATCATAACATGTCTATAATGATGCCAGATGTTCAGGTTAAAACAAAGTTAATCAAATAACTTCTTTCAACATTAGAAAAACTCAAAATGGAAGCTTATTGATTTTTTTCTTATTGCATGCATGATTTCATTTTAATTATAAATTTAGACACAGCAGATGTTCCTAGCAATGGAAATAATTTTGTCAGTTGTCAACTCATTACAATTCCACAAATCCTTCTATACTGACTTTAGCCCAGTGACACTTGAAATGGGAAAGCTAGAGAACATCTTGATTTGGAGGACTGTTGAACTTCAGTCATCAATAATACGAGAGCAGGAAAGGAAGGCTAACAGTTGTAAGAAGCTGGTTTGTATCAGGAGTAAGCTTGCTCGTTCTGGGAAGGAAGTGTGAACAGATAGCCAATCAGGCTGAGAAAGGTCAAGTGATAAAACATTTCTGAGTTACAGATCACCGCTGGATTATTTTACCTTTGGATTTCCTCTCTGGCATTTCTGAAATGGATGGACTGAAAATGTATCTTGATCTCTAATGCTTTCTGTAAGGATAAAATTGCAGAAAAACATTAAACGTGCCAGCAGCTCTCTAAAAGGTGCACTCTTTTTTGTCTATGGAGTACAAAGATTGTCCTTAAAGATTTTAAAGGAAAAGTTAACACCAGTTTAACTGGTTGTCATCTGTCATGAAGATTCACCCCTTTCTCTGCAAATACTAAAACAAACATTGGGAAGATTAGGCAATTAATTCTGTGGATTAACTTCACCCGCAGGAAAAATCGTTTAAATCCTTTCAAGTCATCTTTATCAGAATGGGAAATCTACACAGTCTTTTAAAATGAATACTCACCTTTGAGATTAAAACTTGAGCAAGAATTTTAACCTCTCTAAGCTTAGAGAAAAGCAACCCATAGTCATTGCTCTCAAAAAACAATACAGGTTTTCCTGGCCTATGAAACAGTATTTTACTGATGGTCTAAGTAGTATTTCTCTCAATTTATGTCTTAATGGAGTTGCTTTCCCAGATCTTGGATATGTTTGTTGCTTTTGTATTGATGTTTGATTTTGTCTGTACATTTAAAACATTCATTTCTTTATTCCTTTACTATCACCTCATCACCTCTAGCATCTTTTCACATGGTTTAAGAGTTTACAGAAAGGTTAAGTAATGGGTAAATTAAAATTGAGGAAAAGGAAAATACAGCCATGTGAGTTCCAGAAGCACGATCTTCATAGAGTATGAGATTGTGTAACAAACAGTAGCCTAAATGTAAGGTGGGGTTTTTTGGCAGAAGGAACAGCGTGGAAACCAGATTCTCTGAAGCTAGAGGGAAGCCCATTAATCTGCTCTTTGGCATGTTCTCTGTATTTCATGGCTCTTTAGCATCCAAGAGTGGGAACTTTACAGCGGGTTCATAAAAGCTGTAAAAATTATTTAATGTTTTATATAAATTACTAGCACAATCTTTGCAGTAGCCTCTTTCATTAGATTTGATATTGTTTATGGTTATCTTTTAATTTTCTCTATACTCTATTGTGGGCTTTCATATATTAATACTAATCTGTAAAAATATTTAAAGCTACCATCAGGTGAAACAGAAGGGTTTTGCAGCCGTTGCAGCAGGAAGATGCAGTTCTAGTACAAGTTCTTAGTTAGGGCATTTGATACCTGAAGAAAGCTAAAGAAATAGTTTGGGATGGAGATGATGTCTGGACTTGATAATGAAATGGCCCAAGTATAACAACTGTTAACATTGAGACTGAATTGGTTGTGATGTCTCAAAACTCTAAAAACTAATAGGGCTCCCTGCACTGTTTGCAAACAGCTGTTAGTAATAAGGCTGTGAATTTGACAGGGAAAGGGTTTTGGTACTTTGTTGATCTTTAGTTTGTTCATCAGCACTACTATTTGTATAGTATCTTAACTTTTCTCATTTCTGATTTCAAACTTGCATTTATTTCTAGCACCTGCTGACAATCATAGCACCTGGAGATGTGACTGGCATACAGTTGTATACACTAGGACACTGTATGGCTTCAGTAAATACTGTGTTTAAAGGCTGCAAGTCCCACGAACCCCACTTACTATGAGTAACTGAACTAAATATACGGGAATTTTTGCTTTTGTTCGTCTGTGCTTTCTTTCCTTGCCTTCTGATTTGCTGCTCTTCTCCCCATTTTCACCACCACATTGTAGCCCTTCTACTTTCTTTTCCTGCACATCAGTGTTCTGCACAGTAGCTTGTCACCTTCAGCCTGGCATAGTTTTTCAGAGCTCCTCAGGGGCCTCAAGTCTGTTGGAGTGGGGCTGTATTCAGAGGTATTCCTTTCATGGATGTCCTTAGCACTGCAGGGATGCAAATTCCCTGCCTCCCTGAACACTGCAGTGCAAGCATGACACAGGCTCACAAAAACACTACTTCAAAGGCATCTCAGGAGACCCGTTAACTGAAGAAAGGCTAGAGACGTGAACTGTTCTGTTGCATGGAATTTCAATACATAGGTTCTCCAGGGACTCAAATAAAAGCCTTGATAAATGGTAGTTACTGGATTCTATCAGCTGCTGCTGTCTCTTTCCTCCTCTCAGCTGCTCTTGTGCTCTACCTCTGTATTACAGAAAATTAATTACAGGTGGTCTGTATGCAAATGATCACATTAACTGGCAGTGATTCATATGGTCTGATTCTTCATGTATCTTTAAGCTTTATCAGACTGATAGCAATTCCCATGCCCAGCTTTGATGAAGTAGCTGGAGGAAAGTTACGACTGCTAGAAACTTGGTAGTGATTTGTGCTGAGTCAGTTGTTTCATTTTTTTTTTTGTAAAGGAGATACACAGTGAATTCCACAGAATGGTTTATCTGTGATTTTGGAGTTATCTGGTGCTGTGCAGATTCCTGAGAACAGTCTCTTACAGTGGCTCATATTCTTCATGGTTCATTTATCAACCTGTGGAAGAACAAAGGACACCCAGGATCCCAACTCTGATAAGCTAGAATTACGCTCTAACTCGAATTAATCTAGCAACTGCAAAACAACATGGTAACAGATGCCTTATTTTGATGAAAGGTCTGCAGGGTCGGTATTTGCGCTGTGGCCCAGCACTATGTGTGGCACTGTCGCTTGCTGATCACTCCAAGCAGCTATGAAATCCACACAGATACTCATGGCCATTCTGGGCTCTTCCTAACTCCCAGTGGACCTCTTCATTCGTTCTGATGCTTCTAAGACTTTTACTGAAGCTTTTACTCTTTAAGAATAAAACATTGTTTTTAGTCAAATACAGATATATGCATAAAGTTACCTCTGCATTGCAGCTACTAGGAGAATAAACTAAGATTTTTTTGGGTTTTTTTTAATGTGTTCCTAAAACTGAGCTGATGAGACTGCCACCTTTTATGCTTAAACAAGGAGGCTAGACTGAAATTTAGTTGTTTTGTGTTCATATCGCTCTAGAAGGAAGAGGATAAAGTGAATTCAGAGGATCTTCCTTTCCAGTCTTAGTAGCTGGACAAGAAACAGAGGATATGTAAATATCTTGAGGTGAGAGATTTGACAGACTGTTAGTTTCTAGAAGATAGTAGGTAGTTGGGAGCAAAAGCCTCAAGCTTCAATTTTAGCATCAGTAACATAAAAGAAGGTATTTGTCAGATAAGGTGTCCACTGAGAAGGCTGCGACCGAAGGATGCCATACCAGGCAGTCACCATCAGGTTTGACATAAAATTTTTCAGCACTAGCAAGGTCAACCTTCTTTTTCTTAAAGTTTTTGCTTGTAGATAGCTGGATGGTTCACATGCCCTTTGTGTTTTGCTGGTTTTTGAAGGGATCATAGGGACTAGATTTCAGTTGGTGATCACTGATATGCTGTGCTGTCATCAAATAAAACTTGCTCGTTGTCTGTACAGTGAAACATCTGTGCATTTTTTTAAAATTAAATGCAGCTTTGAATTGAAGATGGAATAGTGAGCTTCCCTCTGTATACTTCCAGCCCCACAAAACTGCCAGATTAAGATGCTGTATAGATGTCTGCAGAAATCATGCCATCTTGATGGTAAAGCTACTGTGTTTGAAGCAGATCAGGTAGGAGAGACTGTTATTTTGAAGTAGGTTGTAGTGCTGGTTTGTCTTGCTGGTGGACAGTAAAATATGCATTGACGTCAGGGCTGGCTGATCAGCATTCAGTTCATGAAGTGGGTCAGGTTTGTTTCTAACACACTCATACCTTTCCTTTATCAGTACCTCTCTCCCGATTATCTCCTTGCTCATATTACACGAAAAGATCCGTGTGGCTCTATGAAGCCAGGCAGATTGAATTCTTTTGGTAATTTTAGAAGAATGGATTAATTATCACTCTGAAGCTAGTATCCCTTCTAAAGGATTTTTAGACATACAAAGTAGAGACTACCTCATATTGCTGGATGCACAGCAGAAGTTGCAGTGGCTCTGGCAGGGAGTTTCCATTTCTCAAATTGCAAACGGATCCGAAATCTTAGTCTGTTTCCATTTTTAACGGGAAAACAGATTCCATTTAAATGATGTATGTTCAAAAAATTATACCTTCTAAATTCAAGATTATTCTAAAGGGGGTAATGAGATTGAGAAACAAAATACCGCAAATGTTGAGAGCCAATATTTGCAGATTGCACAAACACAGAGTTTATTCAACTGAGCACAATGCTGCAAATGATCGTACTTTTTAACGTGCAGATTCAGGCAAATGTTAAGAAGATAAAGATCACCCCATTATATCATCTCAGTTCTCTGGTGAAGAGTCCAATTTCAGTCCTTTTAGAATTCTGTGGCTGGCATGTGTGTTTTTGAGGGCCGGCACATTTTTCCCTTAAACGTCAGTAATGTTCTTAAAACCCATTTCTCTGGAATGGATTAATAGTGTTCTTAGGTTAAAAATGATTACCTTCAATCCAGAACGATTATGGTAGATCAGCAATTGCAAAGTAGAAACAAGGTGGAGGGGGGGGAAGAGAGAATGAGAGACTAGTGACTGTTTTGTGCTTAACTGAATCCTGGCTGTCATAACACCCCAAAAAGTGGGACAACTAAACTGACAGTGCAATAATTAAACATTGAGGAAGCCCAATGGACCAAGCATCCAGTATCCTGTCTAAATTCTGAACTTTTTCTCTGAAATGGTTTTCATGGATGTTATTAATCCTTGAGTTCCCAAGAAATGGTTTAACATCATTTGAAGACACAAGTGTAGAAAGCATAATGGAAACAAAAGGAGGTAACCATAATAATTTACGTACCCTAAAAAATAACACTGATCTCCCTGCACAGGTAATTATTTTGTCCAAAAACAGAATATAATTGGATTTCTAAAGATAAAAGCAGATTGCTGAAAAAAGCAACACTGTTTTAAAGTCCTATGTTGTGTGAAAAAGTGAATTAGTAGGTACCTGGCTCTTACTATGCTTTGTATTGTCAATGCATGCTATTTTTTCAGCAGAAAGTCATAACTGAATGACACTGCTGTTCCTTGCCCAAGAAAAGGCAGGGGAAAAAAGGAAGTTTTAGAACTGCAGATCAAAGATAGAATGAAGGAACAATTTTCCAGGTTATAGGCACACACTCCTAGACAAGGCACACAGACTCGTGAGGAATTCCATGCTGGATCAGACAGACCTAGTGGTGACAGGGAGACCATCTGAGGCTGGCTGTTTGTGCAGCCTTGTGCTTGTCCCTGCCCCCAAACCCCAGCAGCCAGTACTTGTGTTTATACAGTGTGCATCCTTGGCTACTCCTTCTAGTACTGGTTTTAGACCTTTCATTCATGGATTTGGCTAATAAATCTTAATCATCTGTGCTGTCACAAGACTACCAGATGCAAGCCAGTTGCTGCTGTTCCAACCAGTCAAGCACGGTCTCGACAGCGCAAGTGTTGTAATTCTGTTGCTCAGATGGGGAGCAAAGGTAACAGCCTTGCAAGTATCATGCCATTCAGATTTAAGATGTCCTTGCTCTTGAGATACTTTTGTTAACTAGAAATAAAACTATTATGTGTTAGGAAATTAAACATGTAAATATAATAATAAAAAACAACAAAACAAAAAACAAAATCCTGATTGTAACGTGAACCTGAAGCTTCTCTTACATTGATCAGTCATACTTAAAGACTGTGTTCTGCCTTGTGCTATTCAGATTCCTTCATGTCTTTTTTTGAAGTGGCTTCCACATGTTCACATCCACCAAATAGCTAATTTAAATCCAGTCTGGATAGGAAAGGAATTTCGCTTCCTTAGGAATTGAAATCTTGCGTATTTCCAAGCAGGTCATGCTTTTCTATAGCCGTGCTTACATATATATGTGCATGTACTTGTGAATCTGATACTGAGATTTATGAGGGTGGCACCTGAGTATGAGCTGCATTTCAGAGATGAAGATTGATATTTATCTGCAGTACTAAGAGGATGTTGAAAATCTGACAAATTCAAGATAAGCAAAAGGAGAGATCAGATTTAATGACACCTACACAGATGGCAAAATGCTTCTGAGAGAAGAAATTGCTTCATGTCTCCCGAGTATTGTCAAGGTTGCCAAGCCAATTATGTGTGAAGAAAAGTCTCCTCAAAGAGAATTAAAAAATTCACAACAAAAGTCTAGCTGTGATAGGAAGAAGGCAGGTGACATACAGCGATTGGGGGAGTTTTTGGTAGAAGATTTTGTTGTTTCCCTGTCTGTTATTACAGCTGAAGTTGCAGTTGTTTCAGAACTGAAGCAGGATGTAAAAGAAAGGATAGCATGAATGTTCCATTCAGTGTTTCCTATGCAGAGTTGGAATCTAAGCTGACCTTGGCCATTTGCACCTCCACAGTATGGTGACATGCCAGGATGCCATTGCGTAACTGTTCACGCAACTGTCAGGCGTTCTACGTGCCTGCAGAGCATGACGCTGTTACGGATCTTGCGTGTGGTCTGACCTTCAAATAGTCTTTCTGGCATTGCAGCCTTCTTACTGATAGGCAGCGGGGCTCTCCTTTGATTATGGCCAACTCCCAAAAGTTCATTGCTGTGAGATTGGGTATCTGATTTTCTGACTTTGAGCTAACACAGTGACCTTGGACTGACGTTGGAGATTTAACCTCTTGAGGGTTCCATCTGTACCAGATATTTACAGGAGTGCAAGATGTTCTTTTGTAACAAAGCATGTTAATTCTCTGGAATACAATATTAATTTAGAGGCATTGGTTTAAAAGGGTAGAATGAAGCTTAAATATTTGTCTTGTCAGTTTGCAGTGGGATTGTTGGCAATACAAAAATAGATGAGGGATAAGAGTATCATGTGTCATCACAAAAATGACAGCTCACCATTAGCAGTCAGCACACCGATACAACAATCTCTGAGGAGCCTGAGTGATTGTAGATCTGATTTACTCAGTCACTGTTTTCAGCAAACTCAATCATTCGTATTTGAGCTAGAGTTTATCTTTTAAAAGGTCCTCAAATTTCTAGTCAGATTTTTAAAGTAATCAATCTGCCAAATACGACTATGCTGCCCTAGAAGATTATCTTAAGTCAAAGCTGTTAAGATAAATCATGAAATATAACAATTTTGAAGTTATTTACATCCCAGAGCCCCTCTACCAAGCAGTTTGCTTAAGTCTGAAGGCTCTGGTCATCAGCTTTCTTCAGCAGATTCTCATGAATGGTTTCTTCCACACTGAAGCCATGAGCTGCAGTTCCTTATTTGTCACTAGGATCACTTTACTAGCTGTGATGTCAGATAAGCCCTGTAGTTCTGGTATTGAAGGGAGGACAGCCAAATCAGCTTTCCTAGAACAGAGATTTAATTATTTAGAACAAAAGCATTTTGGGGAGGAAGAAAAAAAGGTAAAACTGCAGGGATGAAAGAGATGGATGTGTTCCTGCTTTGTGTGAATGCAAATAATGGGTATGGTTAGTTTGAGATAAGTGAAAAGGATTAATCCTACAACTGCATGTGACACTGAAGAGCTCCATGGATTGAATTACTGTAAGCACGTCTTATTTGTGGAGTGTTAAGGACCTGAATCTTTGCAGAATTTTTGCTGTAGAGGAACCGACATGCTGAGTTTCTACTGACTTTAACATATTCCCGTTACTTTGAGCTAGTCATTTTTTTAGTCATTAAGCTGGCTTCCTCAATATTAGTGTTGTTGGCTGTATTGTTCTACTAAAAAATTAGTGCAACCTGGGAGAGCAGCAACAGGGGAAGCAAAACAAAAAATTGCGTCAGACTGTCTGACTTCACGTCTCTGTGCAACAGTGGCTGTCATTTTACTTTTCACTATTGGGTTTTTACAAATGGTGACTAATGCTGGAGTCCCAGGGACCCACATCTGCTCTCATATTAAGCCGTAAAAAGAAATATTTCAAAGAACTGCTTAGTTGTGGAATGGTAAATTACAGTTGTAGATTGAAAGGGCTGCGGACAATCCCAGTAGCAGAGTTTCCTTCCTAGCAAAAGGCATTGTGTTTTCCCATACTTGTTGCTTTTGGCAGAGTTCCCTCCTCCCATCTCCAAAGTTGATGCCTTTGTTGTCAAAATTTGTTGTGCATTCAAGGCTACAGAGCACCTAAAGAAAACTTGGGAAATCTCAGATCCAGTACTGAATCTCGTATATCTCTTGGCAAGTAAATAAGCTCCTACGTATGCATGATTGTCAGTTTGTTGAATTTTAGTGAGAGCTGTTTATAAACTTAGATTTAGGAAACTGGTAGAAGTTTACTCCAAACTCCTCCAGGTTTTCAAATTTTGCAGAGTGCTTTAATAATTACCTAGCTGTCATGAAAATAGCAGTCTAGGACGTTCAGCATCCCAATATTTTCAGTGGGAGTACTGATAAAATGATTTATGAGAGAGCCTTTCATGAACAAAAGTGAGCTTTCAGGCTTAGTCCATGCACGCTATCATTATTCTTTGTCATGCAGCTGGAGTTTGGAGTGACTTGCCCCTTAATTTCTCAACAGATTTTGGATTTGGAAACTTCTATGAGAGTGGTGAGCCTCTGACGACATGGTGTGGAAGCCCACCATATGCAGCCCCAGAAGTCTTTGAAGGACAGCAATACGAGGGACCCCAGCTGGATATCTGGGTATCATTATTCTTTTTTTAACTGGATTCATGTCGACTTTTAGGAAGCTGGAACAAAGCAATCATCTTTGATTCTTCTTAAGCTGCACCCAAACTGTTCCTCTTCAGCTTTATTTCTAGAATGTCATAAGATGCCTCTTAACATTGAATGGAATTCAAGTTACCTCTCCAGGTGCCTACTAAATGTACGCTGTAGGTGCATGTTAACACTTTTAGAGGAAAAACTGTAGCTTCTCCGAAGTCTCTCCTGGCGGAATGCACAAACTTTGCTAATCTAATTTAATTGCATTAACAAAGAAAAAGATTTTTAGATCCATGCATACACAAATACATGTATCTCTATATACATACATATATTTATGTAGCTACATAGAAAAACAAAAAGGCTACAGCCTTTTTGAACCTTTAGTAACTGGTAAATAAACATATAGCAAAACTGAGCTATGCTTACTGTTTCCAGTAGCACAGGCACTGTTTGAATGGGAGAAATGAATCTCTGAACTTTGATAAATATTCTTTAAATATGTAAGATTTTAAATTGTTAACAGAATCTGCCTGAGAAGCACACGTGTGTCTATATTCTAAGATAAAATCATCGTCACTTACCTTCTCAGATGAGTTAAAGATTCTCTATCTCTGTGCAACATCCAGTCACAGAATAGGTCTGCTGAAAGTGCTAAGCTTGCAGGAGGAATGCAACAATCCACAGTTCAGGCTTTGGCAAGTTAAAGGAAGAAAGTGACTTTTAAAATGCATCTTTAATTTTAAAGTCTCTGTGTAAATACAAAGTTTTAAGGTGAATGCTGAATGCCTGCTTTTTCCCTTTGAGAAATCAAGTGCTTTAGCTATCTATGCCAAATGATTGGCAAGGGGGTCCTGTGTGGTTATTTTATCTAGTGTGGTGCTATATTTTTTTGGCATAAACTGCAAGACTGTTTCCACTTGCAGCCCCAATTAACTTACATATTTTCAAAAATGAGTCTGGCAGTTGGAGAACTCTTGCCCAGATTGTCTCCTTTTGCTCATATTAAATAATCCCTCACGCTCAGCACTGCACACTGCAGTGCAGAATTACCAGTTGGTGTTCCCCTGAAGCAGACTGTTCACAAAGTTCCCAGTGTGCCTCTTGACCAGGTTTTTGCAAATTGGTAAATGTAAACGGTTACAGTTTCTTATTTTGAGCAGCTGCTGTTTGAGGTTTGGGGGTTTTTGGACAACGTTGAGATTAAGAAAAAGTATCTCTAATTTTCACCTGAAGTTGGGGCTCACTTTTCAGGTATCATTCAGTCATCTGCTAGCAGCCAGAGTCTCTAACCCATTACGCTTCAGCTTACCTGCTTATCAGTACAAGGTACTGCAAGCCTAGCCATTTTGAGTTAGCTGAGCGGTCTTAATGTTTAGGGATCTTCAGAAATCTAGCTCCTTTTTGTATAAATTTCCTGTTTCTGCAGAAGGTCATTTTATTTTTTTTTCCTGTGGCAGAATTTGGCTAGCCAACCTCAGAGACTTTGCTTGTAGCTTGAAAACTGAAATTAATATTCTCTTTGTTACAGAGCATGGGTGTAGTTCTGTATGTTTTGGTTTGTGGAGCATTACCTTTTGATGGACCAACGCTTCCCATACTGAGGCAACGAGTTCTTGAAGGAAGGTTCAGAATCCCTTATTTTATGTCAGAAGGTAACAATGCGTCCTCTTACACTCTTGGTGTGGTAAACCTTGAGTAAATTCTAGAATAATCTCTGCAATACCACAAAGGGTGGTGCATCTGCACAGTAAATTATGGTATGGCAGACTATTCGTTTTGCAAAGAAACACAAATAGGCCTAGGTGAGCTGCACACCTTTGCAGTTAGGCTGCTGCTAGGCAAACCAACCTATTTTTCCTGCACCATGTGTGGCTGTACCTGTCAGCAGTAAGAAATGGAAGCTGAAGGATCTCTCATCCTACTGTGAACAGCAATATAGAGATGCGGGGGGAGAGGCACATTTGTGTAGCAATTAACTTTTGTCCTGCAAGGCCATGTGCATTTTAATGTGGAAAGAAAATATGTTGAGAGCAATATCACCGTCAAACCTAAGTTGTGGATTTCCTGGTATTTGACAGTGTCTGCTAAACAAAAGCAAAGAAGTGCACAGCCAGGTTCTCATTGTCATGTATCCGGCACTCCCACATGAGACTGAGAGAACTCTCCCTCACCTAAGTATCCCATCTGTTGGGTTTCACTCTGCCTCATGCCTGTTCAGACAAGAACAAGTGGGACCATTTTTCATGGGTTGTGATGGTGTCCTTCAGTCTCATTAAAGGATCTCTAAACCAGATTACTTACAGACAACCTTCCTGAATCAAATCCTTGTTCAATATACTATTTTTCTGTGCCTCTTTTTTTTCTAAAGGGAATTAAAAATGTGTTTTTCAGCCCTGTTGTTAAGGGTTCTGTGGCGTAAACATCCTGATCTTCCCCTTTTTTCTTTCTAGTGGCATGTACTCCTGCGTGCTGCCTCTGAAAACAGTCACTATAGCGTAACTATAGTGCACTTGGTTGCTTTTAGCAATGCCATTATGGCACCACAGCAACGTCTCATCTTCCTGAACACATTTTGCAGCCTGCGCTGCACTGTATTGTGTTTCTGTGGCTTTGCTGACATAGGTATGTAGGCTAGATCCAGATGCCTTTCTGTGAGTTGCAGTCTTTGCTGTGCTTGCAGTGTGGATCGGCTGTTTCACCAGCTGTTTGCTGCTCCCCTGGCTGACCACATGGTGATGCAGGGAGTGGGGAAGGATGTGCCTTTCAGCAAAACTGTGGAAAAAGAGAAACAGGAGTAAACTCCCAGAAATCTCTCTCTAAACTATTTGTCATAGCTACCTGGATGGACTGACTGATAACAACTGTACTGTGGCCACATCATGGTCAGCTAGAAATACATCGCAGACGGATAAACTCTCTTAAAGGAACTTGCATTGGCATCCCATCATATGCAGACCAACCGAGATCTGAAGAAAAATACAATGGTTTTAATGTTGTCCAGCATGTAGTAGTCAGAAAGCACGAACAGTTTGGTGTGTTCAGAATGATTCTGGCACTTAAAACTACTGATTGTGATTTGGTCTTGGAATTAAAACAGATAAACCTGAAGGCCCACTGGCTACTATCCATAGCCACAAGGACATTATTTTTACTTTTGGTTTTGTGACCACTAAGGTGGAAGTAAAAAACAAAGAGTCCAGGCACTAACCCTAGTTTTGCCTGTCCCTTGTTTTATTAGCCTGGACAAGCTATTTCAAACTGCTGAAGAAACTGCTGGGCTTATTACTCCCACCACACTTCACAGAGGTTATTTGAAGCTTTATCAGTTAGTGTTAGCACTGTACTTAGAACAGCACAAGCACCTCCAAAGACATAGTCAATATTACTATTACCACCATGTGGGAGCAGTGTAGAAGGAATAGCACTGTTAGTCATATGATGCAGTTAAAGAAGTTGGAGTTTTGTCCTTCTTAATGTGACTTTTAATCTTGTTTTGAGAGATTGTTTTAACCTTCAGGAAATGTATTTAGCACAGAAGACAGGTAGAAGTAAGGCAGTTTCCTGTTGTTGTGCTCTGTGTTGGTAGCTCTCAGGTGAATATATGCAAGTCCCACTTATCAGGCTGGTAATTTATGGGTTTTTTTCCCTCAACAGAGTGTGAACATCTGATTAGAAGAATGTTGGTCCTAGACCCATCCAAACGCTTATCTATTGCTCAGATTAAGGAGCACAAGTGGATGCTTATAGAGGTTCCTGCACAGAGACCTATTCTTTATCCACCAGGAGAGGAGAATGAGCCTTCCATTGGAGAGTATAATGAGCAGGTCTTAAGGCTAATGCACAGCCTGGGAATAGACCAACAGAAAACTATTGAGGTAAAATAGACCCGAACTGATATTTGTCCTTGGGGAGAAGGTGTCCTGTTAGAGACAAATTAGTTCTCTAAATGAGAACCCATGGAAAAGCATAATGTGTTCTGGTCACGTACCCCAGGACTAGCTTCTGTTCTTTCAGTGTATCAACTATTTAATTTAAACAAGCACACACTTAAAAAAAAATGATGTTGCAATTGCTTTTAGCTAAAGGATGCATAGACATATAGCATGTAGTGTAAAAAATGGCATCCCACTAGGACTGCCTGTTAAAATGGTGATACTTGCTGCTGCTTAAAATTGTTTATTTCTACAGATTTGTTTGTTAGCTAGGTTGATTCTTAAGCACAGAAGTAAAATAAAGGAGTCATGTTAGGTTCCACAGTGTTAGATTTCCTGGGTGGGGTTGCATAAATCATTACCCCTCAAATGCAGGGAGAGGACTGGAAATCAGAATTGAAAGGAAATTGATTTTAAAATTCTAACAGGGTGGAAAATTAAATTTAAAGAGGAGCATAAAAGAGCAGTTGAATGCCTCTGTTCAATCCCAAAATGTGCTTCTTAGCAAACATAAATGCCACGACTCCATGTGGAGTTAACACAATCGTTTCTTTTAGGATGGTTGATACTTTAAACCATTGTGGAGGTTGAGCGCTTTCTGCTAGAAGAGGCTAGTTTCTCCACTTTGCAGAGGATCATTGTTTCTAGTGACTTGGAATGGCCAATATATTCAGGAGATCCTGGAGCTCAGTCCCTCTCCATGCTCAAATCTCTGAGGGTTCAGAGTAGCACCTGAATGCTAGGTGCAAGTACAGTTGCAGCCCAGAACATAGCAAACTTCTGTGAACTTGCCACTAAACTGAAGTTGATGCTTCTGTTTGCCTGGCACTCTGGTTTGAAACTTTCTCAATTGAGAATGTTTGCCTACACCGCTGCCTCTTAAATACCTTTTTTTTTCCTTCTTTTCCCCTAGATGGCAATTCTTTCTTCTTCCTGGTCTCATACAACCAGGATATAAAAGATAATGCATATTTGGCTGCACCCACACTTTTGTGCTTCTCTCTTTCAGTCTCTGCAGAACAAGAGTTATAACCACTTTGCTGCTATCTATTACTTGTTAGTGGAAAGACTCAAATCACATCGGAGTAGCTTCCCCGTGGAACAGAGACTTGATGCTCGTCAGCGTCGGCCAAGCACCATTGCTGAGCAGACAGTAGCCAAGGTAAGGTCTTGTTCCTAGCAGAGGTGGAATTAAGGCTGTGCAAGCCATGCTTCTCTTTCAAAATGGTGTTTCTACATAGATTCACTTAGAATCCACTGCTATTTTCTGACTTCCACAGACATTCTTACAGCATCATTTTGGAAAGTTTTTATTTGCCTCCTGTCAGAACTGTATGATGACAAATCGGTTGGCTGACATGCTTCATGCAACTGGTCCTGCTGCCTCCTCCCAACCCTAACCCCCATCCCTCCCACTCCCCTCTCACCTCCAAAAAAATAAATGGAGCTTGGAGGAGACTGGATAAGTTTTAAATGAGAGGGGGAAGTTGACTGCATTCTGAAGCCCAAATACAAACAATGGTTTTGGCTTAAATGGTTATGTGCATGGTTTAACCTTAACTCACGGTGTATTTCCCAGGTGAAAGGAAAGTACTGTGCTTGTGCTTCTGACTGTATTACTTCCATTTTTGAGAATTTCAAGCTTTTTGCTGGGAAGTTATGAGTTAAAATGTTAAGAGAAATACCATTTCTGGAGACTCTGCAACACTTGGACTATCTTTAATGTGATTGACAAATGAGCTGCTGAATTTATGGAGAGCTGTGCTAGCATGGGGGCTAAAAGCATGCAGGCTCTACTTAGTGTTATAAACATAGTTACTCTGAAGAGGCCTGTTGAAAATAAAATTACTTTCTTCCCTGCAGTTCTCTAGATACACTTTCTGTCTTCCATGAAATGAAGCATGGCAGAATAGTAAAGAGGTACCCAAAGGAAAATATTAGGATCGACCCATCAGATTAAGATGCCAACTCATTGTGATATCTTAAGTACATGATAAAAATATCGTCATGAGACTTTTAATGGCTTAAGACTCAGGGATTTGTTCCTAAATAATGTCATTTCTTTTTAAGATTTGCACCACTTCTTCTTCCAGTGACCCAGCAAGAGTCTAATTTCATGGCAGACTTTGCAGCACGGCTGCAAAGCCTCTTTGTGCATAGAGCCAATGTGATGGCTGACTAATTGATTTAAGCCTTAAGGATGTCATGTGTATTTTATCAAGAACAATCCTGAGTGCTCCTTACATCTGGTACCAGCCCTTCCATGGCAGAAGGCTGTCCACTTAGTATGCTCCCTAATTACACTGACTGATTCAGCACAGACTCTAAGGCTCTTCAGTCTGCTGCTTCCCTTTTCTTCAGAAAGAAAGGTCATGTACAGTTTATTGTGTCTTATTCCAATAATTCTCAGGTTTTTTTTCTACACGTGCTTTTGTTTCATTAAGATACACAGACGTTATACGGCTTTTGATTTCTATTAATGCATAACTGGAAACATGAAAGACTTGGCCTAAGATGACTCAGATTTATTGTGATCTCAAGTAAATATATTCTCAAGTTCACAGCCTCCTGGGTACTGTATTGCTGCTGCATAGAACAAGTGCCCAGGCTCCACTTCTAGGAGAAATCACAACCATGCTGCTCCTTTTTTGCCTGAGGCAGCAAGACACTGTTTAGTTTTGGGTTCTGTTGAAATGAAAGCCAAATTGCTTCAGCTATGGAAACATAAATTCACACACAATATGGCTGACAAAGATTAAAACCAGCTATTTGCTTAGATGGTAGTTTTAACAATAGAAAGACACATAATTAATAACCTGTTTTTGAATACTAAGATGTATTAAAAGCAGGTGGAGATAGATGAACAAGGAGGAAGAAAAAACCTCCTAGAAGGTAGTTCCTTATTATATTAAATCCCTGTACTTTATAGCCACATTACCACTTTTTCCTCAGGACTGCAAGCAATCGTGCAGTGTTATCCTGAGTAACAAGATAATTTGTTTTCACACATGGTGGCACCACAGGCTCCTGTATAAGGCTGCTTGTTTCCTTTTGGACAGGCATGTTACGTGGATACTGCACTTCAGGAAATAAAGGTTAAGAAACCATGAAAACCACTGTTTTCCTAATTGTGCCATGCTTGCCTTCCCTGAGGCACACCTCTCTGTTCAACAGCGCACTCTCTGTTAAAATAACTTATTTCAGATCCAGCCTGCTCTATTTTTTTTCCATGCTTTTTGCTACAGGAATCAGTGCATGTTAGAGAAGTCATTGAAACTAGCCCTACGCCTTGTGGTAATATTGAGGGGTTTTGTACTGAATATAAAAAGGAATTACAGCATGTCAGAAGTGGGAGGGCACCAAAGGGTACCAAACACTGTCTTTACTGCTAGTAGTGTCCAGCTTCAATAAGTAGCTAGCTTAATGTTTGAGGCCTCTGTGTTTTAGGGGGCGGTGGTGATTTTTTTTTTAAAGCCTAAGAATGCAATTCATCAGGAATAAGGAAATACATCTAGTACTTCTCCTTCTTTGGACATGGACTGGGTATTGTTTATTTTTCATTTGTGACTTTGTATGTTGTTTTCTGCCTAAAATTGTTCTAGTTTTGGAATTTTTAAAATCTGTTTTAGGCACAAGCTGTGGTACCCTCAGTTAACTTGCATTCACAAAATGCGAGGTTGTTGCAGTCTCCAGGTCTTCCCTCAGCTTCAGGAGCAGAAGCCTTTTCGTTCCCTCCATCCAGCTGCCAGGGAGAGACAGCATTTATGGAGGAAGAAAGAGTTGAGACACCAAAGGTACAGCTTAAAATCACCCTACTGTTTTGTCAGAAATCATTAAGACTAAAAAAGATTCTTGCCTCTTAAACTGCTGCCTAGTGAAAGCACAGCTAGTGGTAGTAGCTGTAGCTCTTCAATGATTAATTGAAAATCAGTTCCCTCTGACAGAGAAGAGTTCATCATCCTAGCACAAAGCACTGTGGAGTCAGAGCCAGCCAGAGCATTTGCTAATCCAAAGCAATGTCACTTCACTGACCTTAGTGCACTTCCTGTGTCTGCCACTTGCAGGTAGCTGAGCTGGAGAGCTGCTGCCCTCCGCTTTCAGCAGCGTTTTCCTCACAGACCCAATGTTCTCGACCTGCTCCCAAGCACTTTCTCTAAAGCGTATGCTGCCTCTGGCAAGTTGTCATTCCTGGGTAGCCTCTCGGGATACACAGCAAGTCAAATACAAAGGTGTTTAGTATCCAAACACTTGATTTGCACATTGCTTGTACTTGCTGGACAAAACACATTGTGCCTGTAGCTACTCATCCAAAAATTCAGATGAATGAGAACAGGAAGGTATAATGGATTCTTAACCATAAGCTTCCACTGCCAGCTAAAGCGATTAAAATACCTTGCATTTAAAATCTCTTATCTCTGCTAATTTCATAATAAGCCAGCCAAGAAAGTTACATTTCTGTTAATTTTTTTGTTGACTGGTAAACAGCCAGCAGGACCTTCTGACTGTCAAAACCAATTACAACTGCAGCATCTCAAATAGGTTGCAGCAACTCTCAGCTAGGCCATTTCTGTAACTAGGAATGCTTGTAAAATCTTCACTGGAGACCATGTAAAATTGCAGCTCCATCTAATGGGTTTTGTTTCCTGTAATCAGACTGAAAGACTTTGTGTAGGCTTTCCACACCTCCACAGTTAACAGACTTAACTGAACTCAACTAATAGGATGTGACGGCTCCACAGCTTTACAAATGTATGGTTACAGCTTAACTCCCTGAAGGGAGCTCCGGTCTGATCCATTTTGCCATGCAACTTTGAGGTCTGTGACAATACTCTGCAGGGTAACAAAGAATAAGTGAAGTACATGGGAGTTAGCAGTTAGGGCTTTTGTGAGGAAGGGGAAATAGCTTAAAAGAATTACATTTATGAAGTGTATTATTATTCTCATGAAACTTCTGTTGTTCTCTCCTGTATCACATCACATAATAACTTTAATTTTAGCATATGGTATTTTGCCTGTGCCAGCTAGGGGTTTGATTTCATGCTTGCCATTTTGAAGCTTTTATTGCTTACTGGTTAGTTCTGAACACTGAAGAGTGTGGCCCTGGTTCTCATCACGGTTTTAAGTATCTCCTTGGGTGGTCCCTTACAGCTGGAAAGCAAAAAGCAGTTCAAAGACACTAGGAAATTAACATTTCAAACTTTCTTCTGCATCCCCCTTTGCTTTTATAGATGCAGTTTAGCCAGAGTAATCAATAAATGGTGACTACAGTGCAGTGTCAAATCACAATTGACTTGGGAATATTTGGTGTCTTAAGTATTACAAAAGATGTCTGCTAAAGCCTTCCAAGCTCTGATCCATGTGCCATGGTAAACTGCAGAGAGCCAGCTGCCCACGTGGTATTGGTTCTCTTTTTCCTTTCCAGTAGTTCACTAGTCTTTCCAGTGCTTTTGCTGTCAGCTCAGTAGAAGGCAATGGGAAAGTCCCAAATGGAAAGAAAGGTGTGCAAGAAATTAAGCTTAAAGATATAATTCATTAAATTAAAACGGAGGTGGCAGATCCAGAATTTTCCTGTGCAAGCAGGAAACGAGGTTGCTCAGAGCTTTATCAAGTTGAGTGAATCCAAAGGGATTCCACAGCTTCTCTAGGCAACCTTTGATTGCAGAGGAGCACCGTGAATCAAATAGACCTTTGCTGGAAAGGGTGCTTTCATTGTAGTATTCTTGACCACGTCTCTGCAGCTCAGCAAGAATGCTGCAGAATCAAATACAGGACTGTTCTTTAATAGTGCTTATCTACCTAAACGAGTACATTAGGTATAGTAAGGGGAAACAAAAATATTGTACTTTCCATACATATTTTATATTTGTGACTAAACTGACAAAGGCTTTTAATAACTTTTTTAAAAAGCAGCCCTGGAGAACATAGTACTGTGGAAATAGGAGTATTTAGATTTAGGGAGCTGAGTACTAAGAGAATGTCCGTGGTGGTCTTATGTGGAGGGATTTGTTTGTGACATACAATTCTTACCAAGTCTTTCTTACCTCAGTAGATTATGGGGAGGTTCACACAACTTAAATATCCAGGCTGCCTTCAGTCTACATAATATGCAGAGAGTTTTTGCACTGTGGAGTGATGCTCTGTGCACATAACAAATCTATCCTTTTCCTTGTGCCTTTTAGGTAAATGGCTGCTTGCTAGATCCTGTACCTCCCATGGTGATGAGGAAAGGATGCCAATCACTGCCTACCAGCATGATGGAGACTTCTATTGATGAAGGAATAGAGACAGAAGGAGAGTCAGAAGATGACCCTGCACAGGCATTTGCAGCCCTCCAAGCAGCTCGCTGTGGGAAGAGACGTCACACTCTGGCAGAAGTTACCAATCAGCTGGTGATGATGCCAGGCACAGGTGCAGAAGTTAACATAGACATCTCAAAGCTCATTTCCTGCTCTCAGCACTTTATCTAATAAGCCCAGGATGAAAACCACTAGGTTTTAAGAGCAACAAGCACAAGATAGTTTCTTGGTTGTGCTACTTAACACTTGCTATAAAGGCCAAAGGAAAAAAAAACAATACACACAACAAAACACCCCCTAATCTGCTGA